ATTTGTTCTTTGCCTTCTCAATTTGCTAAGCGCTAAGATTTGCGGTTGTGCCTACGTCATCCCCAAAATTTACATTTCTATTTATCACATATATGCTCTAGTGTTTGATTTTGGTTTGTTATACATTCACATATACCCATAGATAACTACCATAATATTCCAAACCTCCGAAGCTCGAGTATCTGACACCTCTCGCAGCACTGAGCGAGCTGGAGGACTATTCATTATAAATATCATGCAATTGGTTATGTGGCTGCATATTTTGCATTTGGGACTTATCCCTCTCCTTTAGTCTTTCGTTTATTTCACCGAAACCCTCTCGAATTTATTTTGAGTACAAAGTAATGGCTACGTCTATAATCAAATTGCACACTTTCTCCGGGGCCGGGGACAACCAGCCTCCTTGCTTTCTTCTCCAAGTTGACGATTTCTATTGCCTTCTTGATTGCGGTTGCCTGGAGGACAATCCTCCCTCATTTTTAAAGGAACTATCAAAATGGGTGAAAATGATCGACGCGGTTTTAATAACCCACCCAAGTATGCGCCATCTGGGCCTTCTGCCTGTGTTGGTGGGAAAATATGGTCTGAAATGTCCAATTTACACCACCACACCCGTTTACAAACTCGGTCAACTCGTGTTGTATGACGCATACCAATCGCGGTACGTTTCCGGGGAGTCCTCTTCCTTTTCTTTGGACGATATTGATGCTGCCTTTGAACTCATTGTTCAAGTTAAGTACCAGCAGACAATTAATCTTCAAGGAAGAGGTCATGGACTTAGTGTCACGCCACTTCCCTCCGGTACGTATTTTAAAACCTGTACTATTTTAAAGGCCATATGCTCGGAGGAACAATATGGAAGCTCATAAAGGACGAAACGGACATAATTTACGCGATTGACTTCAATCACAAGAAGGGTAGGCACTTGAACGGTGCAACATTTGATGCATGCATACGCCCCCGTCTCCTGATAATTGACGTATCGAATGCCCTCTATGCTCAAGTAGGAGAACATTCATATGTGCTTAGTATTTAGTCTCGGAGGAAAAATCGTGAGGAGGCCCTCCGC